ATAGGATGTTTATATTTCTGCCATTCTATAAGAAAAGAGAATTAAATTGCACATCATGAAAACCTTGAAGTGACTATTACATCATGACTATTTCAAAACCATGGATACAATTAAATATGGCATGTATGGATACTGGATGTGAAAAACTGAGGAAGTCATTTGCTGTGGTTAAGTTGGGGAAAATCCCCTAATAAAAGCTGCATTCAAAATAGGATTTACAGAATGATTGGACAACATAATATATACGTATCAATGCATCTGCTCATGCATTTCACCAAGCAGCTGGATATAGTGATGAAAAATATCTGTCACAGCAAGACAACTAAATCCTAATAGCCAGTTATACTCCAGTGACTGTTTTAGCTGATCACCAACGTTATCATCTTTGTATGTAACTACTAAAAAAGTGCCTTTTCACTCGAAAGCCCAGCTATTTTACATAAGAAGAATAGGCTGTACAGGTTTTTGTTCAGAATAAAATTTTCCAACTGCACCACTGCTATTGTTGCTGGCATATAATCAGCCAGTAAATTTCAGCAGCACCTTCACTAATGGATTTTAATGTGATTTTTTGCCTAAAGAGCTTAAGAAATTCAAAGACGCAGACAGAGACGTGGAAAAAGACCTACAGAGATGACATAGAATGTAGGACAGTACCTAAATTGGTACTACTATTCTTTCCAGCTCATCTTACTCTTCCCACTGTTCTCTTCTCAAAACACTGGTGGAAAAGCCCCACATTGTCTGGGAAGATTTTGTTTCATAAATATTCAAACAGTTTGAAGAATTATGACTTGATTTTTCTGTAGCTTAAATATATACCACCAGTGTATTGGCATAATTCAAAGCACCATACGGGTCTTTCTCTTCTAAACTGAGGATCACTTGTTTTTACACAGCAAACTTTTCACAGCAAGGGAAGCAATAGCAAGGATATTCTTACCTTAACCAGAGTTAAGGTAACTTCCCTCACCGAATCCCTTTTATTTCAAATACAATAACGCTCCAGCTTTTTCTTACAATGACTTCTCGTTACAAGACAAATAAACTATTCTCTCAATCATCAATACTTGTCCAACCACAGAGAAAAGAAAACAAAGCCCCATGACTTGCTTGCAAATCTTAACCTTAGCCAAGAAAATGATGCTAGTCCCTACTACCAGTGGCCCCTAGATTTTAAGAAATTTTCTCCACAAAATTCTACACTTCAAAGAGTGTTTTCAGAGGCTCTACCCCCATCCCAGTATCACTGACTTTATCAGAGATCATAGATAGATTCATAAAACTGCAACTTCTCTTTGAAGCTATATTTTAGGCTAGTGCAGGTAATCAATGACATCCGAACACTCCTAAAGAAAAGACATGCTGTACCTATTCAGAACAGTATTACTACCTCAAAGTCAACCCACTATCAATTTCCAACTTTGCTATATACATGCAGTCTCTTGCAAATTGTTTTAAATTTGTTAACATAACAGATGAAAGACAGATGGTTGGTCAGCAAGCTCAGACACAGACGTCTTCTCTTCTCCTAGCTCCAATTTAAAACATACATCAGCAGTGCAGACTTCCATACAGCACTCTCCTATGGTGCTCCAGCCTCTACCTAATTGAAAGCATCTGATCAGGTATGGCAGTGTTCCACTCGAATGGCCAGCAAAAGACCAACTAACACAAAAAAGTGCTGGCTGTATGTGTAGGTGTATATGTAAAATGCCTATGTACAGCAGGAACAGATGAAACAATTGCTACGCTTTCATTTCTCAACTACCTTTAAACGTCAATTTGATAAATAGGAAGGTAAAATTTAACTGAGACATTCAATCTTTTTCTTTTTTTTACTTTTTAAAAACATCATTTGTTTGCTATTTGGAAAGCAGCACTGCCTTCTTTCTGAAATATCTTAAATAGCTCATATTAGGTATGACAAACATTACTTTTATTCTTTGGAAACTCTTTAGATTCTGTTACTTATCAGGACAACAGAGACCAGGACGACTATCTGCAAATGAACACTTGTGCTTCACCATTCTGGGATTCTTGAAGGTAAATGGCTAGAAGAAGTCAGATTGTTGAGATTGTAAGGGACACTTATGAAGTGTAGAGGTTTGACAGAAATCCACGTTCCTCAAATAAGCCTTCGGGAAGGTTATTCTGTTAGAAAGACATTCTTACGATTCTAAACATTTAATAATGGCATTTACTTTCCAATTGCAAGATTTTTTTTTAAACTTCATTACTGCAAACTACTACTGAAACAGGTAAAGAATGCCCACTACTCCCCAAATATTGCATTAATAAAACTGAAGTAAAATAACATTTTAAAAACACACAGAACTAGCATAGTTACATGCATTACATCAATCTTTTCATTTACATAGGAAGATGATTTTCAAAATGGCTCTTTCTGGAAAATTCGATATTTTAAACAATTTTTTATGTACAAATTAAAACACAGCTTCATGATATAAAAAGACATTCATTTTTCAGCAACACTCAAAGGAATATACCTGCCTGAATTCCATCCTCCCTCCCTCAAGTTCCTACACACTTCCCTTTTTTGGGAAGAGGTGAGGGGAAGAGGAGAAAGAAGGAGAAAAATCATTAATTTTTTTCTGAGTTTTCCTAAACAGTTCTCAGACAGTTTTTTTTCTCCCCCACTCTCACCAAAATAATACCATTACCCATCCTAGCAACTCGCACACTTGCACACAGCACATTACTCAGTACTGCATTTTGAAAAATGTTTTCAATGGCAGCACTAGCAAAGCTAAAAAATAAACTCTAAAAATCAGCCTTCCTAAGAAATCTTTCCTTAGTTTGCCCAACAACATAAATTAGAACTTTGGCAACTGCTTTCCACATATCTAGATTCTGTGAATATTAGGAATTCCTTCTATTACACAAAAAAGGACTGGAATTACTGTGTGTGAAGAGAATTCTAATTTCTCAGTATTAACACACTCCATGTCCATTTTTAATGTTTTTTTAATGGTAGCTCTTCCATTTCTGATTTTATTTATTTACGACATGTAAGGATAGGTTGATTGAAAGTTTGTCTTTTTAAATTACCCAGAATGCCATACCCAAAAGTGATCAAATAGAAGAAACTCATACAAATCTGAATTCATCCATTTGCGGTTCAGATATTTGGGCCATCTAGGATCTGTTAGTTTTCTTGCCTGTATTCCATGTGCTGTATGGTCCTTGCCCAAAGCAAAGTCATGACTAGCTAAATGTAACCTCCTTTCCGCTGTGACAATGAGAGCTCACTCCTGGCTTTGCACAATTAGTCCAAGCAATAAAGGAAAGCAATACAACGAATAAAAACACTGAATTCTGAATGCCAGCAAAATGCACTGTTTTTATAAAATCATACCAGCTCTACAAAAACTGTCCAACTATACATCCCCGAATTCACATACCCATCGGAAAGAATTTTCCTCTCACAGAGTTCTAAAAACAGAGCTGCTCGATGACTATACAGTTTCAAAAGCCTCAAACCGACACAAAGAGTATACGGAATAAGTAAAAATAGCTTTTGCATCTAATATGCTGTAGATGCATTGACTCCACTTCAGAACTCAAATTCAGGTGCTAACTGAGGTACACAAAATACAGATTATTACACGGACACCTTTTTCTCTTATGTTGTAACATAGCATAACAGCTGTGGTTAGGACCTCACAAAACTGCTGCATGAAAATTATCTCAGCGTAGTGACAACTAATGAACTCATCCCTATGTTTTGGGATTCTACTTCTTAGAACATCCATGCTAAAGGTAACGTGTGTTTCCAAAAAATAAAACCACTCTTTCTCCTCCAACTGCAACTATTCCAAAACTAAGCCCTGCGGACAAAAATTTTTTAATCACTGTGAAAACATGAGATTCAAACAGTCACTAGGGTTATGTAAGCTATTAAATGTTAACATTATCAAAAAACATGCTGTAGAGGACATTTAGTCCAGAGAACTAGATGAAACCTAGTCTGAAGTAAATATCTGAAATTCATACAGTGTAGACGCAGGGGACTCTGCATCAACAGCTTTAGTCAACTCATTTGCTCCTACCACATCAAATTATTCATTACAGTAGATAAAGCCTAAAGATTCTACTATAGTATCAAAAGAAATATCAAAGACCCCAGAGATACTTCTGCTGTGCTTGGATATACTTGGTATCTGTCTTTTCAGTTACATGAGTAAAGGTTCCTCTGAAGTGACTTTTGACCATGTGATTTCCAATGACTGTCATATCAAAGTATATATATCTCCAGATCACAGTAAGCTTTACTAGCTTACTAAAAAATAAACACAGTTTACTGAATAGCTCTGCAAACTCACCCTGTGTTTTCTTACCCAGGTAGCACATTTTTTAGCTATTTAGCACATTTGTAGCTACAGAAATTCCACAATTTGAATTTAGTTAACAATTCTCCTGATGAGCAAGGCTGAAGAAAATGTAATTCCCTCTCCTGTAACGGCCCTGGCTTTGCACAAGTAAAAAATGGTGACATTTTGCTACCCTGACTGAAGCCCAACAATTCCAAGACTGCATCAACTAACAAGATTGTATATTAACACAGAGACTTATCTGACCCTGTTGCAATACAAATAACAATGTAATTAAATTCAATTAAACTCTGAAAGTACATTGCTTTTAAAAGATACACAATTTTAGAACCTTTGTAATATCAGTTTTCTTGCCAAAAACACTTCAGAAATTACTCTTGTGTACTAGCGACTTCTACCATACTTGCAGAGAAGTATTTGCAGTAACAGCTCTCAGTCTCCAGGGCCAGCATTTTATTTACTGTCTTTCTGAGTGAAGAACTGATCAACAGTCTCTCCACAGGAATCAGTGTAATGTCATTGGACATTACAACTCCAGAACAATTGCAGTGGCAAAACAGGACTAACTCCTTCCAGGAGCAGAGAAGCACACTGCCTTCTCACAGTACTTAACACCCTCGGGAGGAAACCGAAGAGAAAACAGACCTTCAGTGTTACCTATTTGTCTCTCTAGATCTGCTGCTTCATCTGGTGTTGCGCGTGGGAGGACACCAGGATCACTGAAACTAGTACGCAGCAGGGTCCCCATCACGAAAAAGAAAAGAATCCCACCAATTGCAGGAATAGCAGGTGTAATCTTCTCTGACAAGTATGGGCAACTGGAAAAGAAAAGAAAAAAGAAACATGATGAGTAACATAGTGCAGTTTGTTCCCCAAAAATACGTACCATTATGAATGCATATCAATAAATCACTCTCTCTTATGGATACATTCTTTCTGTTGGACTACTTCGCTTAACTTTATTGAAGCTGAAATTTGTGCTTATGTATTCACGACAACTTCTGACATTTCTCATAATTTGTTTAGTATAACAAGAGTCCAAATAGCATAGCAATGATTTCACTAATATGGAATACTCTAACTTACGTTAAGAAAATGTTTTTATTATAGAATATTATGAATTCATATATTGGTCAATCTACTGCTTACTTACATAAAGTAATTGGGGGCAAAGGGAAGTAACCTGAAGATATTCAGCAATAAAAGTAAAAGCAGGTAACATGATGAAATAATCCATAGTGAAAAATGTAATTAGGTCTATAAAATGAACTGATAGCCCATCAAAAAGAGGGTGCTCAAGAACTTACACCTGCGACGCATCCCTCCTAACAGCCTTGACATATACCATACATATTACAACAGCAGTGGACGGTGCTCCAAAGCCTTTTGATTCTTTCTTAATCCATTTCTTTTAACTTAGTAAGCTTGTTTAGACATTTGCAGAGTAAGATGAGTGCAACGACAGTGCAACTCATATGGAAATTGATAATCCAGCTGGTCTAGGGCAAAGTCAAAAGCCCTTTACCAGCACAGAAGAAAGGCTCTACGGTTACCAGATTTACAATATAATTACAGGGCTACAAGATTATAAAGCAGCCTTAGCAATTTTCTCCTTAATCCACATGTAATAAAATCAGCATGGACAGAAGCACTGGAATCTATACAACACACAAACATAGATGTCTCTTAATCATTATGGTTTGGTTAAAAGAGAGCATATGAACACCTAGATACTAAACAGCACACCACTTTGGTTAATCTGAGTCACATAGTAAATACTACAGGATCATTTTAGAAAATGCACAAGCTCTCGATAGGCTCTTATACTGAGCAGAGAGAGCAAAATGCACAGACTGCTTCATACATTTCTGACATCTGCATGACGAGTTACAACGTAAGCCTAAAAATAACAACAAAATGTTCTAGGCCTTAAGGTGCGGTATAAAATTTCCAGGTGTCAATCAAGTTTAATTAACTTTGTCTTCCGTGCTTTGCTGACTGCTTTCAGTGACAGTTCAGCTGCGTGAGCTCTAGCACTGCATGTTAACCTCCCTGGAACGTGAACTCTGAGCAAGCGGTGACAACAGTGTCAACTTCATTGGTGGTCACTTCAGCAGACAGGACGGGGAGAGAAGAGAAACGCTTATCTTATCAGCTACCATGTACCAAGTGTTTTTCATCCTGCTTAATCCTGTTAAATATACTGGCTATTTCACAGATGCAGTGAATCCAAACACATTACATGGCACATCATGCCATCACTATGAATGGAATGAATCTTTCACCCTACATGAATGTGATATTCCAGGTGTAACAAGTTATGAAAGGTTAAAAAGACAACTAGGTTTAAAAAAAAAAAAAAAGGCAGGGGGAGGGGGGTAGATATTGTGGCTTTATATTAAAAAAGCAGGCTGTTTAAATACTTGGAAACATAACTTTAAAACACATACTTCCAGAAATTCATTTCCAAGACCCAGGTCCAGAAAATCAGTGCTCACTAAAGGAATCAGGCAGTAAGACACTTCATAGACACAGGCCTCATTCCCCTTAATGTCAGAGAAACCAGACAGAACAAACAACCAAACAGAAGCTTTCATACCACATAAATGTCCTACAGCTCCATTTATTTCTTGCCGCAAAGGGTAATTAAAATCAAAAGCACTGTAATAGGCTCAGACAAGAGTACAAATATGCTGCAGGAACATATTTTTAAAAGGATTAGCGGGAACATGTACATTAATGAACACTAAAAATAGCATAGTGCTGTTATTCTTCTATTGCATTATTTATGTCACATACCAAAGAAACTGCAACTGTGATGAGGTCTGTTGACCAAATGAGAGCTGCATGTGTGCAAAAGGTACCTGAGATAATCTTAGGGTGGAGCGGTAGGTGTAATACAATATCCATTACACTTAATGCACGCACAGCGACGCTCTCCAGCTACACAACTTAAATCTAGAATCCTCGGTGAATACTCAGAGAACGGAAACTGAAGGGCCGCTGCAAGAATAGCTTCATAGGCATTTTAAAGAAAGAACAAGTTCCTATGCTGAAATATTAAGAAAGCTTTTCACTGCAGGAAAGTGATGACTTCATTACAGCAAAAAAGCCATGAAAAATACTTCCCTATTGACAGTCCACCAGCTGAACGACAGTCCACCTGCAGTGAAAAACATCCCCAAAGCCCTGTGCACTTTGTCTCTTATGCAAGTGTAAGGTAATCCGTTTTGCTCAAAGGTGTTGGCCTATTTTATCAACTTTGATTTGGGAGTACTGTAGCAGTTTATGTCTGTCGAAAAGACTGAAGATGTAATCACTAGCAACAACAACCAACCAATGCTCCACCAATTCAGAAATTATTTCAAATTGAGAACGTAGTCCTTGCAGAGATTCAGATAATAAACGCAGGCAGAACCATCCAAGACAGTCTGACTTATGTAACAACAGGCCACATAATGTGACATGGGCCTGCAAAGAGCCTAATAATTTCCATCTTTTAGAAAGGCCAAGTAATTTTTCAAATTTCTGTCAATTAGATTCAAAAAACCAGAAAGTGTCTACATGATTCACTTTCGGCATTTGACAGCACTTGATGGAATTTTTTTCATGAACAAGAATGAAAATAGATAATGACAGATCATATACAGGTCTGAGAAGAAAAGCTCTTATGAACTTCCTGCCCTGAGCTTAGGAAGAGGAGGAAAAGTACAGCTAAGTATGCTCCACTTGATTATCTATATTTTTCTTCACAGGCCCATTTAAAAAAGTAGGGAGAAATCTTAATATCTTGAGAGTTCTTAAAAAAAAAAAAAATCCATTACACTATGACTTCAAATTAAAAATCTGAATTTAATTCAAATTGTCAATATATCTGTACAAATATATTTGTGCATTTATATAATTTCTATTTCTATACTTATATAACACATTCATTTGTACCGCTACCTTAAATTCAATGTTATTTCAAAAATATTAGTTTGTTGTTATTATTTTTAGAATGGTCAAACACCGTACACAAAAACGTTCTTCCTAACTTTTGCTCAAATTTCTTAATTAAATTTGCTTCAATTGAGTTTGCATCCCATCAGGCATTAACTTTCCTCAAATATTACAGGAAATGTCTTTTCTGGATTGTATTTTCAATGGATTTTATTTCAGTGCATATTAGCAAATATTTCCTTACAGCAAATTTCAGAAATTTTAAATACAGCTACTCCCCTACCAGAGAACTGACCACAGTATTGTTTATGATAAAGCAGCATGGAAACCCAAAACAAATCTCTCTCTTACACACATCAGCACAGCAAGAAGGTTTGGACCCCTTTTTAAATCATCACATTGGTAGCTACCAGAAGTAAACTAGCATCCTCAGTTTACATCTTAGACACTGTAAACTACTGTCATTAATTACTATCAGTAGTGATAGCACAGAACAAGTACTATAGCTAAAAAACTGTTTTTGAGAACTATTATTTGACCATAGACCACATCAAAACTTTCTACAGCTGAAATAGCATCTTCAGAGAACAATGTCTGGATTTGCATACAGCAACCAGCAACACACCCTCAAGTTTAAATTTAAGAGACAGGCGGTACACAGATCAGCCTGCTTCTTGCTTTGCTTCTCACCTCCTTCTTTGAAGCATCATGCGAAAGTGCATGAGTGTAGGAGGGAAACAAATCTGCTGGAAGATTAGTCTGTCACAGCTAGATAAGAATAAAAACATGCTGGCATTTAAGAGATAATTATCAAGTATCATCCCCCTGAACTAAGGATGCAGAAGAACAAAAGTAATTCGTACCACCCAGGAGCACTCAAGTGCCTAACTGTGCTCCCCATGGCTACCAAGATCGGCAGAAATATAGAGACGTAGTAACCGCATCGACAGGAGCACGCAGTGAGAAACCTACAACCTTCAACCTCTTTTACCAGAAAGGGGAAGAAAAGGAAGCCTTCTTTAGGCCTTTGCTGGAAACATGAAAGCTTTTCTAAACAAGCATCACTGACAGTTGTTATGTACTGACAGGGAGATAGAGAATGACAAAACCATTCAGTGAAGATGATAGAGACCTGGAGGGAGTTTAACTCCGACTAATTCTGTAGTCATGAAACCCATTAGTAACTGACAAATGCAGCCACTTATTACAGAGCAGAAGAAAGAGGGTTTTTTCTATACCCATGACAAACTGGAGATCCTGTTTACTGTTTGCTAAGCAGGAAGACGGAAAACAATAAAAATTCAGATTTTATGCAAATATATAGCCATCATGCTTGATTACACTAATTAAAAAGAAAATTACCTATGAGCTTGGTTGGAGAGACCAGTATTAGGATACTGTATGTCAAGCAAACTCTATGCAGCAGACATAAAAAAGGTATTTTAAGAAAAGCATAACCTAATAAGTATAGAAGAACCAAGCAGCATAAGGGAAAATTTATAAACTGTTCATTTTCCTACATCATAAATTTCATTTCCATTTCCCTAGGTATTGCTTACCAGTAGCTACTGGTGTAAAGATGCTGTCCAACGCTAAGAGAAAGACTTGCACTAGTACTCCTGGGTTCTGTTCCACGTGTTACAAGCTAACATCTGAGTGGTAGCATGCTGCTTTCCTCGGATTAGCCCCAGGGCTCATTGGTCGGCCTTCCGCTCTTATTTATGGCTCCTCTCAACTTCCCCTTCTTGTCACTTCCTCCACATCACTGCCCCAAACCACTTGGCCCCAGACTACTAACCTGGTGCCAGCACAAAGATTTGTCCGGTTCTTTTGTGAGTCAATTTAGTTTACTAAAATTTAAGAAAATTATATCATC